CGGGGGCCGAGCCCGGGGGCCGTCCGTCCCGCCGGCAGCGGGCACTGCGCAGAAGGGACCAGACCTCCCCCTCGAAGGCGGACGCTTCTGCGGAGTCACTCGCCGTGGAAGTAGCTCCGCGGGGAGCCGGGGCGCTCGGAGATAGGGGAGGGGGGAGGGGATGTCGGGTCGCCGGCCTGACTCGCCGTCAAGATACTGATGCGTTTGTTCCCATAATTACTTTTCAGATCCGAAATATCTCCGTTTAGCCTTAACAGAACAGAAATGCTACCTTGTTCCAAGTAAAACAAAAATTTGGAGCTAAACGCTAGCGAGGTTAAGGGTAAATAAAAACGTGGGTGTCATACAGCTGAGAGGCTGAATGCACAAACCGCCAATGGCCACACCGTAGGCGATAATAGAACTGTAGAACTGTGGCCAGAGATGTCTGGTCCAGGTCCTTGACCCGCAGCTTTTTTTTTCTTTTCTTTTTTTTGGGACCACTGTTTCCAACTCTGGACCAATCAGAGAGAGCCAAATATGCTGTCAAAGCCAATCACAGAAGCTGCCTTTCCTCTAGTTATACCTCCTCCGACTTCCTGTTTCCAACAACCTCCAATCAGAGCACACCTGAAGGTTTTCTTTTTTAAATTTTTTTTCTTTTTTTAAAAACCATCTTTTTGTTTTTAAATCCATTAAACCTAGTGATGGTCTCTCTTTCTATGGCAAATATGATAAAGCTGTGGTCTGTTACCTAAAAATCCAATGACTAAAATCTGTAAAGATTCCACATAATGTATAGTATTTTTTAAATAGCTGGGTGTGGTGGTGCAGTCCTGTACTCCCAGAACTCATTTAGAGACTGAGGCAGGAGGATTGCTGTGGTTCCAAGGCTATCTTGGGATACATTGGTGAGTTCAAGGCCAGCATAAGGGCATAAGGAGACCTTGTCTCAAAAACAGAACAAAAACAAAAAAGTCAAATGTCCTCAACACTCCAACAATTACCAGTTTTCTGTTGAGAAGCACAGATGGTTGAGAATTGGGCTGGATTTTACTGGCCAATAGATCTACTTCTCAATATATTTTTTTCCTCCCTAGTTCGAATAGGAAGGATAAGAATCATAAAATATGACCCGTTAGAAATATGATGAATTACTTGTTAATGCATTTGGTACTTTTTCAGGAAAATGTTACAGAATCCAGTTTGTTGGCCTTTAATTAATATTGACTTTAACAGTTGTGGGTGATCTATAGTAAACACGGTTTATGAAGGGTATGCTATCCCCAGGGAGGTCACCTACTAATTGTAGTAGAGTCCCCA